CAAATCTTCCCACAGAGCGACGTAGGTATGTTGGGGCGTGTTAGAACGAGCCGTTTTAGGTAGGTGTGGCTGACTCTTAACTTTTATAAAGAATATCTCTTTGGATTTGAGACTTTAGTCTTTGCAACTTTACAGATCTTCTTTATGCACCAAGAGCTTGTAACACTCCAAAGAGAAAGGAAAAATTTAAATCGCATCATATGACCCCTTTAACTTTTTTTGACAATGGTGGATAACATCACATTAGGCTACTTTTCTGCTATGCACTGTAAAATATTTTGTCTATTGCTTAAAATGTATTGTTTTTATTCAAGGTATATTCAAAGGTATAATTTAATGATTGAATCAACTTAACTACTGGGTTGCAACAACTAAATCAAACTCTAAAAAGGGTCAGACCAAGTTCTTAAGATGCAGGTAAACATTCGGACTGAAAAAAAGGATGAAAAACAGTTTGCAATGGTAAATTCATTGTACTAAAAGTGCTGAAGTCGTGCAAATTATTTTGTTTTATGAGTTACCCTTTCAAGGAAATGTTTGGCATAATGTCTGTCATAATTCTGAAGAATATTTACCTTTGCAATTAAGATAACATGATAGAGATATGTAGTTTTACAGCTTTTCTTCTATGGGTTTAGGTTTCATATGAACAGGGATGCATTGTTCATGTGTAATACTTTTGAGACCTCACACTCAGTGAGGCTTGTGTGTATGAAACTTTTGACAGCTGCTTTATCCACAGTATTCCTTTCCTCAGTATGACATGGCATTTTGATATACCCATTGCTTATAACACCTGTCCAGAGTGTCAGTTGCTGTGCTGTTGTCAAATCCACACATGATGTTAGCCATACAGGCCTATGCTCCCACACACACACACACACACGCACACACTCCACTCCGCTGTTATTAGTATGGGAAAATGTAACAGTACTGATAAATAAAGAGCCTGTGTGTTCAAACTTTTGACAAGTAGTATACAGAGAGACTGCACAATTATGTCCTCTTTGTCCTGGACATGTTCTGGCCGTGATTTCTAAATTGCCTAGCTTTGGGTTTTATCTTTGTTTTCCTATATTAGTTTTATACTTGCTGAAGATAATGACTGAAGTTTGACTAATAGAGTGCAGGCTTCGTACACAATCAACCAATTGTGGTGAGCGAGAAGATAGGATCTACAGAGAACGGTCAAAGCATGCGAAGATAAGACAAAGGCCATAAAACTGTCCTAAAGGTCTTTTATAAGAAGCACTGATTGGATCTCACAGCACTGAAAGAAACGCAGGTGAAGAGTCAATACAGACCAACAAGATCAACACATGGTGAGAATAACCATCTACTGTACATATTTCTGAAAAATAAAATCCTTTTTGTCTTTATTTTCTTTTCTTTATAATCTTGATCATCTGCAGGTCATAATGATTTAACCCTTAAATGTAGTTGGTGTAAACTAATGTATTTTGGTTGATCCAGTGAATATAAATAATATTTTTAACATAACTAACTTGAAGTTAATTTACAGTATGATTTCTCCATCCAGCTAGGTTCTTCTACAATTACCCCATCAACTTCGGTCAGAAATCTTGGTGTAACTTTTGATAACCATACATTTTCTTTCAGTGTAGCCCAGTCCCTTCTTAAATGAAGAGGGCTTTTATGAATTACAGTCAATAAAAACTTCATTAAGTGAAAACTTAATTTATTTATGTTGGTTTTATTATTAAATCATCTCTTTGCAGAAAGCAACTCTTAGAAGATTTTTGACAAGATGAGAAAATTACTCTTGCTGGTTCTCACCATAACAGGTATGATCTGACCTCTAGTTACATATCGTTCAAACATAGTTAATATTAACTGTGTTTGTTTAATATTTAACATTGTGTCCTATTTTTTATACTCTTGTCCATGCATTTAATGCAGCTTTCTGTAAACACTGGTATAAATGTTTAATGATTTGCTTATTTATGTAAAACTTTGCTCTTTTGAGAGTGGAATAATACAATAGTGCACACTTATTTTTAAAACTTGGGGGAATACTAACACTTTAAACTACATATTTTTAATCATGCATCTTCAACTAAATATCTTCTACTTTTTTGAAGTAGTCATTATTGGTGAAAGCTTAGAATATCTTACTAGCTAAATGTTAAATAAAATCTTAAAAGTGGTAAATAATTATATTTAATCTCTAGATTGTTTAACATTATTACTTTCTGATCACAACTAGCTTCTGTAGCTTCTGCCAGTCCAGTTCAGGATGAGAAGCTTCCTGATCAAGTGGTGAAGGTGCCAGTGGTTGAAAAAGAACCAGCTGTAGAGCACACAGAAGCAGAGCAAGGTCCTCTGATGCAGGATGAAGCTGTTGCAGATTCACGTATGTTGGAGCCTGATTCAGTGCTGCTGGGGCCAGAGACAACAGAGGAACACAGAATACCAGAAGAGACACAAGTGATGTTGGAGGAACCGATGCTAGAGGCAGATTACCTGACTGAAGAGATGCCAGAGACAGAACTAGAGCCTGAGACAGAAATAACTGCCATTCAGATGAACAGAAACATCATACCTGTGGAGGAAGCTGTACAACAGTTAGAGTCTGAAACTAATATAGAGGTGAAAGATGAAAAAAAAGAAAATGTAGTAAAGGAGGAGCCTACACTTGAGGCTGAGTATATAGCGGTTGAAGATTCAGAAATACAAATGGAACTTGGGAGGGAAAGACGAAGGACGCAGAATGGTAAGCCACCTCAGATGATATTAGTTTTACCACTGTGTACAAGTAGCAAACAGGTTTGATACTACTTGGCCAAATGCACTGAATACTGCATTGTTCAGGATCACTGTCAACAGCTGCCTTTATCAAGCTGGTGTGACGTCACGTGTAATGTAAGTTTTGCGATATGGAATGGTGATTGTAGTGTGGTGATATGTCCACAGGGAGATGGACTTGTAGAGGAGTTGTCCTACAGGGCAAATGTTACCAGTACTTCACAAGAAACCTTGATGCCTATACTGCTGAGGTATTAATGTCATTTTCACTTGTTATAATGATAGAAAACATATTATGAAGCTTATTTGTTTATTTAGAGTAATATGGTTCTGGCAGGAAATGTAAATCAAAGAGAACATCAAGCGACATTTATACTGAACAAAATTATAAACGCAACACTTTTGTTTTTGCCCCCACTTTTCATGAGCTGAACTCAAAGATCTAAGACTTTTTCTATGTACACAAAAGGCCTATTTCTATCAAATATTGTTCACAAATCTGTCTAAATCTGTGTTAGTGAGCACTTCTCCTTTGCCGAGATAATCCATCCACCTCACAGGTGTGGCATATCAAGATGCTGATTAGACAGAAAAACAAAAGTGTTGCATTTATAATTTTGTTCATTGTATGTTTGATTTCATACAGTACATGTCCGGTAGATTTTTTTATAAAAACCATACACAGACGCACATTTTAAAGATTTAGAAAATAATGATCATAATAATACATTCTTATATCCTACAGCTGATTCGTCCAATTTGGTTAATTTGCATTGCATTACACATTTAAAATTCAATTGCTGAAAACATATCCTGGTTAATGACAATGAAACAGTATTTCTATTTTATTTTCATTTTATAAAATGTTTCTCTTTAGTTACAATGTCAATCTATCTGCCCCAATGGCCACCTGGCCTCTGTGACAAGCAGCTACATTCGTGACAGAATGGGCAAGTTAATGGACCGGTATGGCGGGCGCACTCGCGCATGGCTTGGAGGACGGAGAATCATTGGTGTATGTTCATTTGTTTTGCAGTGTTTCA